GACTGGGCCCAGGAGGTCCTGGAAGGCCTGGGAGCCCGGGGAGCCGCACGCCCCCCCGCCCCGGCCCTGGGCCCTGCAGGCGCCAGGACCCCAGCTGGGGACGGAACCAGGAAGCCAGAGTCTGCTCTCCAAACACTGACCCATTGTGCCTCCTGCGCTGGAAAGGGGAAGTGCGAGTGTTTGTCAGGAGGACGCCGGGGCCGCGGAAGGCGAGAGCAGGCCCCGGTGGCCCCCACGTCCCGCAGCACGGAGGGGACAGAGGACCCCCGCTCCCTGGGACGCAGCAGGGCCGTCGGCCACGCTCAGAGCGGAGCGTCCGCCATGTGCCCCGGGGGGCCGCCTCGCTGAGCCCCGGCGGCGCCCACTGCACCCCGGGGCCCCCTTCCGGGCCAGACTGTGCGGGTGACACTGCCCGGTACAGCGGGTCTAGCAGCGTCGCTGTCACCACCCGGCGCGTGTGCGGGGTACGTGGAATCGGCCACACGTGTCCCGCCTGCCTGTCGCTGGGCGGCCTGCGGGGCAAGTGGCCAGAAGGAGTGGCCCCCGCTGAGGTCCATTTTCCGGATCGAGGGGTAATCAAGTCCTATCGCCCGGGGCCGGGAACGAAACCCGGCCGCTGCCCCAGAGGCGGCGCCAGGGGAACAAAGCCACTTTCACGGGAGCGCTGAGCTTGCTGCTTTCCGGGAACAGGCGACACGGAACACAGCGGGCTCTTATCCCCGCCCGCCCCCTCCCCGCTGGCGATCCCAGGCGCCACACGAGCCGGCGGGGCAGGGCTTCCCAGGGCCGCCGGGGCTCGGGGCCGGGAGCCAGCAGCACCCACGAGCACCTTCGGTCCCCAGCAGTGGGAGGAGGCGGCCCGGGTGCCCACGCGTGACCCTTGGTGCTCCGGCCGCACAGGGGGGCCTGTTGGGCTGCACCGGGCAGCTTCTGACCCCCGACGCGGAGGTCAGTGCGGCTCCTCGCGGGGCCGTGGCGTGGCCGGGACCTGGCCCCACTCCTGGGGGCCGGACCCCGGAGCGCTGACTCCACATCCCACCCTGCACTTCTTTGGTTAACTTCTGAGCTCGCGCTCCGTCGTTCATGAGTTCAGGACAAGCCCCCACTAGCGCCCGCCCCGTGGCGGCGGCTCTGCCCCCTGTGCCCAGAGCCTCAGAGGGCGCCCGGCACTCCTGGGGCGTCCGCTCAGCGCACTGCAAACCCTCGTACTGCTAGGCTCCCATCGAAGGAGCTTCCTCCGAGCAGCCTTCCAGGTCCCCCCCAAGGTAGACGCATTGTCCCTTCCTCGGGGAAGCTCACAGGCCGAGCTTCTGGCCACCTGTCCACCCAGTGCCGGCGGCCAGCACGGTGCTGACGAGGCGGTTGGCGCTCAGCAGGTGCATCCGAAATGGGGAACGGGCAGGGGTAAAGTGAGGATGCTGTTCACCCTCAGGAGGACGCTGGCGGAGGGAGGGAGGGAGGCGCCGTGCATCTTGGTCGTCGCCTCCAGCGCCGCTGGACAGGATCGAGGGCGCGCTTTGCAGACCCTCCAGTGGCCGAATGACTCCGCCGACTTCTACTTCACTGTATTACTTTATTCATCTCTTTATGTAGAGAGGGAACAGGGAGGGTCGGGGGCGAGAGAGAATCTTCCAGCAGACTCCGCAGGTCGCGCAGAGCCCTATGCGGAGCTCGATCCCGCAACCCTGAGATCACAAAACCCACCAAGCGGGGTGCTTACCCACCGAGACTCCCAGGCGCCCCCACCAACGCGTGGCGTAGGGTGTCCTGGCGCGTGGGGTGCTGTGCGGGGGCGGAAGGGCCGTCTGCCGCAGGGGTGGGGAGGAGCAGGGGCCTTGCGTGGGGATGGAGCACGGCCCTGAGGACGCAGAGTCTGTGCCCGGGGACGCCCGGCTTCCTCCCGAGTCGGACACGGTGCTTTGTTTCAAAGTCTCTCCGATTTTCGTCGCTTTTGCTCTCAAGCCGATGTGTATGGTTTTCTTTTCGTTCGCCTGGTTTAGATGTCATGGATTTTCCCCTACACCTGTGACTTGGTTCCTATAGTGCGTTTGGGGGAGCTCTTGCTAACTAAATACCTTCCCCGGGCTTGCTTGCAGCTCGGTCTGTCCCCTTGCACCGCCCCGGCCCCGGTTGTATGCGTGAGAATTTCTCGCCACATCCCACGCGGCCTCGTGCCCTGCTGGTGCTCCTCTGACTTACCCAGCTCCCGCACGGCACCCCTGCTGCGTCGTGTGCTGGTGGAATCATTGGCCGCCTGCTTCGTGCCATTTTGTTTTCACGTCATTCTCGGAGTTCCACTTGATTATTCTCTTTTTTAAAAAAGATTTTATTCATGAGACACAGGCAGAGGGAGAAGCACCTGTGGGGAGCCGATGCGGGACTCGATCCCAGGACCCTGGGGTCACGGCCTGAGTGGAAGGCAGACGCTCACCACGGAACCACTGGGTGCCCCATCCACTTGATTATTCTTTTTTTTTTTAATTTTAACTTGATTATTCTTAATGCATTCTAATTCTTCTGTGAAATTTTCATATATTTTCCTGAAACATTTTCAGTTTTCTTATTTTGTGTGTGTTTTTAAGTGTCTTTTCACTCCACTGTGTATATAGCTGTGGCTATTCTCTCTCCTTTTGTCTTTGTTTTCATTTCTTTGTTCTGGTATCTGTTACTACCAGGACTGATTGTTTTTTTAAGTTAAATGTTTGAATTGTGTCCAAAAATTACAGATAAATACATGGATGGATTGATGATTAGGTAGGTGAGCAGATGGGTGGATGATGGATGAATAGATGGATGGATAATGGATGGTTAGACCAGTGGGTGGATGGATGGTGGGTGGATGGATCATGAATGGATGATAGATAAATAGAAATATAGATAGGTGGGGGATGGATAGATGGGTGGGTGGATGGATGAATGGATAGGTGGATAGATGGATGGGTGGATAATAGATGGTTAGATGGGTGGGTACGTGGGTGGTTAGGTGGATGGATGGATGGGTGGTTAGATAGGTGGGTGGATGGATGGGTGAATAATAGATGGTTAGATGGGTGGGTGGGTGGTAGGTGGGTGGATGGATGGATGGTTAGATGGGTGGGTGGATGGTTAGGTGAGTGGATGGATGGATGGATGGTTAGATAGGTGGGTGGATGGTGGATAATAGAGGTTGGGTGGGTGGATGGATGGGTGGATAATAGATGGTTAGGTGGGTGGGTGGGTGGTAGGTGGGTGGATGGATGGATGGATGGGTGGATGGGTGGCTGGTTAGATAGGTGAGTGGATGGATGGGTGGATGAGTGGTTAGGTGGGTGGTAGGTGGGTGGATGGATGCATGGATAATAGATGGTTACATGGGTGGGTGGTTAGGTGGGGGGATGGGTGGATGGATGGGTGGGTGGTTAGATAGGTGAGTGGATGGATGGATGGATGGTTAGATGGGTGGGTGGATGGGTGGTTAGATAGGTGGGTAGATGGAGGGTGGATAATAGAGGTTAGGTGGGTGGGTGGGTAGGTGGTTAGGTGGGTAGATGGATGGATGGATGGATGGATGGATGAATGGTTAGATAGGTGGTAGGTGGGTGGATGGATGGGTAGATGGATGGATGGATAATAGATGGTTAACTGGGTGGGTGGGTGGATGGTTAGGTGGGTAGATGGATGGATGGATGGGTGGATGGATGGTTAGTTAGATTGGTGGGTGGATGGAATGATGATAGATGAGTGGATGGATACGTGGATGGATGGATCGACTGACCCATAATAGGTAGAGGCAGGCTCTGGCGGGTGAGGTTAACTTCGGGAGGGAGATGTTTCTCCGGGGCAGACCACTCAGATCCGGGTGGGGCCGATCTGTTTCTGGCTCTGGTATTCCCACAGCGTAGCCTTCAGGGGCCTCCCCTTGAATCCTAGGTCCGTGCCTGCCGTGAGCTCCCGGGCTGTTGTCCAGCCCCCGTGAAAACTCCCCTGCTTAACCGCGTGGCTCCTCAGCAGCCGCATCAGTCTCGGCTCCACACATCTGGTCCCTTCCCTTGAGCTGAGGAGTCAGAAGGGCCTTCGGGCCGAAGTTTCTTCACTTCCCCCATGTCCCGGCTGCTCGGGTAGCTCAGAACCTCTGTCTTTATCTCCGCAGATCACTGGGATTTCACAGTCCTGCCCACGGGCTTGGGTCCAGGCTCGGCTCCACGTGCTGCCAAGTGGGTCTGTGGCTGGGGTGTGTGACTCGCCCGCATGCCTCCCCTTTCCCGGAAATGAGTAATTGGAGTGACGTGGGATTCTTAGGGACTCAGTCATGCTTTTATCAACCTTCCCTTGTTTTAAGGCAGAAAGCAAAATAACGAGTGTTTCTTAGCGTTCTTTTATTGACCTGATGGATGTGCCCAGTTCTTGAAGCGGAAGTTTAAAAAAAAAGGCAAGATTTAAAAAATACGCAGGATTCGTGGTGATGCCGGACCGTAAGCAGATGGGGGTTTTGTCAGGGGAGTGTACAGAGCTGGATGGAATCTGTGGGCTTGGCGTTAGACTGGAGGTTTCCGTGGCGCTTGGCTTTCATGCCCAGGGCGACAGGGGCCAGGCCAGGGTCTGTGCCCGTTGCAGGGGCGAGGACCGGAGAGCGCCCGCCCAGCCTCCGACACGAGGCGAGCTCTAAATGGAAAGCGGGCCGTCTCTGTGCGGCGTCTCCTGCTGGTCTGTGGGCCGAAGGCCCGGGCCTCGTCACGGGAGAAGGGGCCTGCGGCACGGCCACGGCCGGCCCCTCGTATGCTGGTCTTCAGGGGGTGACGCTGTGCTTCCCTCCTTTGTCCTTGCAGACGCAGCGTGCAGGATGCACGTCTGCTTGCCCTGACGTGCCGTAGCTGGCAGCAGGTGTGTGTGCACGTCCTTCCTTCGGGGAGCCGGCCTGGCCAGGGGGACCCCCCCCCCGCCCCGGGGTGGAATCGGGCCCTCGCCTGCGGCGAACGTTCTAGGCCTGTAAGCCACTCTCTGCTGTGCTTTCCCCACTGCAGAACCCCGAGGCTGCCCTGAGGTCCTGCACCGCGCCGTGGGGATGTCCGGGAGCCCCGTGGGGCCCAAACCCACAGCGCTCCGGGCCGACGCGCCGGCGGCACCTGCCTTCCAGCGGGCGTTCACGGCCTCCTGCACCATCTCCAGCAGCAGCCCTGCCCAACGGCGGGACAGGTAGGGACACGGGCCCTGGGACTTAGTGCTCACGGCTCCCGCAGACAGGGCGTGGGGACGGGGGGCTCGGCCAGCAGATGACACGCGTCTGCTCTGTGCATTGAGAACAGTCACCGTTCAGAAATGTGATCGCAGATGAGAACTCCTGAGAGTCCCCATGCACCCTGGGGACCGTGGCCAGTTAAGGACCGGGCCTCTGTGGCGGCGGGCTCTGAGCTGAGGCTAGAGCGGGGGCGCGTGGGACCGGCCACGGCTCAGTCTCCCTCCTGGCTGGGCGGAGGGGTAGGCGGGCAGATGCCGGCGCCCTCGGGAACATGGCAAGCACAGCGACACCCGGTTGGTGGGCCTGGGGGAGCAGGGGTGCAGCGGGGGCAGGGGGCACAGACGGCGATGGGGCGGCCCCTGGCTGCTGCCCGTGCCCAGAGTAGGAGCGGCTCCCGAGTGGTTTCTGTGTGCAAGGACGGGGCACGCTCCAGGCACACCTGCCGGCCGCCCCCTTACTCTTTACAAGGGGAGGGTCCCGTGTAAGGGCGGCACGCCCGGGGCAGGAGGCGTGTGTGACACGCGGCCCGTAGCTGGCTTCCTGGGCGCCTCGCCGTGGGGGACTGTTGGCTGCTCCACGTGGGAGCTCCCCATTGTGGGGTGCTGACTTCTCGTGTTCTCTCTTTTTTTTTTAAATCAAACCCTACTTTCGTATCATTGTATCTGTGATGTGATACATATTACGTTTTAAGCATATTGTCACCTCGTGCGTGTGTTACTATGTCGCAAGCCCGGGGCTTGAACATATTGCACACGCGACCCTGAGATCAAGACCCGAGCTAAGACCAAGCGTCAGGCGGTCGCTCGCTCCACTGGCCGAGCCACTCTGGCACCCCACCTCCTCATGTTACCGCTGGGACCCCTTAGTCAGTATTGGAAACCGAGTCAGGCGCCCGTGTCGGCTCTTGGGGGAGGAGGTGGAGTAAAGCAGGGCCACGGTCGGCGCCCGGGGAGCACTCCCAGGAGCAGCACGGCAGCGAGCTGCGTGCTTGGCACCGCAGGGAGGGACCCGGGGGTGTGGGCTGCTGCTCGGCACGGGGCCACGCGGGGAAGGGTCTTCGCCAGGTGAAGAGCGAGGAAGGGGGAGGCGGGCGGCGGCTGAGCGCTGACCTTGGGGCGTCTCCCGGGCCAGCGCCCTAATCGCTCTGTCTCTCCACCAGCCCTTCGTCTGGCGAGCTCCTGTGGGTGGACGGCAGCCCCAAAGCCACGCTGGCTGTGCTGGGGGGCAGCCGGCCGGCAGGAGGCCTCCTGAGCCCCGGCCCTGACGGCCCCGGGCGGCCCCACCTCCTGCCCACGGAGCTCCAGGCCTCTTTCCACAACCACCAGCCGTCCCTGGCAGAGCCCCCCGAGGCCCTGGGCCCCCCGGGTGGCCAGGCCTTCCTGAGCTTCGGCCCTGGCCCTGTGGGTGGCGGCCTTCCCCCCGGCGAGGACCCAGGAGCCCTGCTGGCAAATTCCCATGGAGCGCCCCAGGCCCCCAGCACCCCGGGGACGGTGGTTGCTGCCGATGACGGCTTCCTGCCCCACGGCTTTCTCACGGGGACGCCTGGGCACGGCGACCACCACAGCCCGGTCCTGCCGGGCCAGAGCCTGACCCTGCCCGGGCAGCCACCCCTTCCCGAGAAGAAGCGAGCCTCGGAGGGGGACCGGTCTGCGGGCTCAGCCTCCCCGTCCTCCAGCGGCTTCTCCAGCCCCCACAGCGGGAGCACCATGAGCATCCCGTTCCCCAACGTCCTCCCGGACTTCCCCAAGGCCTTGGAGGCTGCAGCGCCTTCCCCAGGTAGGCGCCTGTCACGTCGGGGGGTGGTGGGCAGCAAGGGGGGGCTGGGGTTTCTGGGCAGCGCCCCCAGAGCCAAGCCCAGGGCCGTCCCTGTCCGTCGGCATCCTCCCCTCCGCGCCTTCTGCTGTCCCTGCCCTGCGCTCACCGGCCCCCCGCCGCGCCCCGGGTTCCCACAGGGTTAGAGAGGTCACTGCTCCCCCGAGACACCGCATCCTCGCCCCGGGATGCACTTTGAGCGCCGGGCTCCGTGAGAGATGAGAGGTCGCCCTAAAGCGTCCAGAGTGAGTATTTTTACACTCTCTTTTGCAGATAACCCAGGTGATAAGCATGTGTCCGTGAACTTTGTCCAAGACACGTCCAAATTCTGGTACAAGGCGGATATCTCCCGAGAGCAAGGTACGCGGGCAGATCGCGACCTGGGGCGGGGCGTCCGAGGGTCACGGCCTCGGGAATGAAAACTTAGGGCAAGTCTCCTGTTTCTTGCCCACCCCTGTGGGAGATGCAGCCGATTGTCACCCGAGGCTGCTCCCTGTCCCCGTCGGGCCCTGAGCCGCAGGACGGAGGGCAGAGGTCCGCCCCACACCCTGGCGTCTGTGTCGGCAGACGTAGCCGTGTGCCTCACACCTGCCGTGCGGCGTCCGCCCAGGCCAGCTGGCAGACACCTGAAGTCTTGAGCGTGTCTGAGCACATAAGTCAGGGGCCGCCTCTTCCCGGAGAGCGAACAGGAGGGGGTCCCCGCGGGGTGCAGCCCCTGGGGGAGCAGCCGTCATCCTGCTGCAGGATTTGTGGGGTCAGGAGATGGGGGGGGGCAGCGTGCCTCTCGAGCAGGGAGGAGGATGGACCAGGTCCTGTCCGGAGGGTTCTTTCCTGGAGAGAAGGGGTTAAGTGGCCTGCCCCGCAGTGCTCTCTTGGAATTCTTCTAGTCAATTAAGTAGCTCATAAAAATGGTAAGAATGTGCCTCTCTCCCCCTGAGCTCAAGGAGCCTATTGTCATGTTCGCCGGGGGCGGGGAGCCCGTGGCCCAGTCCCTGAATTGGCCTTTGTGCCTGTGCTGAGCAGCTCGTGTGCCGCGCCCTCCTCGTCCCCTTCCCCTTCCCGCTCGAGATCCCCGTGATGGAGACGTGAGGCCAGCCGGATGGTCTGAGAAGGGCCTGCGTGTGCCACGTCCTGGAAAACTCTGTGGGGTCGCTGACTGCGAGGGCGCAGCCTCTGGCCCAGGATGCGGGCGGGGCAGGTGGGGCTGGGCCTGGGAGGCAGGTGCCGAGCGGCAGGTGGTCCCCGCAGGGGGGGGAGTGGGGGGGTGGACAGCAGGGATTTCCCGGTTAGCTAAGTGCCCTGGCCTCGCCCCGCCCAGCCGTGAGCCCCACATTTATGCCGTCTGCTGGGGTGAATTGGGAGGTTTATGTGAAACGTCCAGGAGCATCTGGGCCCATCCCTTCCATCTTGCCTTCGGCCCATTGGAAGCCCACACTTTAAAATATGTAAAGCGCCACAGGGGGGCGGGGGCTGCAGCAGGGATGGGGGAGCCTTGCCGGGCATCTGGGCACCCAGGCCGGTGGGCCAGGTTCCCGGGCGGTCGGCAGGGCCTCGCCTGTGCCTCACGGGTGCTGTGGGGTGAACGGGGCTCATGTGTGCCCGGCAGGTGCCAGGACTGTGCCTGAGCCTGTTGAGAGCCAAAGGTGGGGGTGTTGCGCTGCATCCTTGCAGTCAGGCCCCCCTTGAAAACTATGCGTCATCACAGGACCCCCCCTCCCACCCTTGCCCTGCACCGCAAGGGACCCCGGTCCGCTCCCTCTGACCCAGTTTGCATAAACACCTGCCTGCTGTGAGTGCGGACGGGCCGCGTGGACCACGGCAAACCCGTGCGTGTGTCTCCTTCCCTCCGCAGCCATCGCCATGCTGAAGGACAAGGAGCCTGGGTCATTCATCGTCAGGGACAGCCACTCCTTCCGAGGAGCCTACGGCCTGGCCATGAAGGTGGCCACGCCTCCCCCTTCTGTCCTGCAGCTCAACAAGAAAGGTAGGGGCCCCGGGAGCCGACGAGGTGCACTGACCCGCGTACAGCGTCTGCGGCCTGTGCTGATGCCAGTGAGACGTCGCGGCCGCTGCAAACGCCGCTCACGTTTCCTTCTGAGTATTTGTCTTTTCCCGGCGCGTTCTACTGGGCACCGTTCCCGTGCAAGCCAGAATGTTAATCATTTGTGAGTTTTATTACTTTACTGCGTCGAACAGGTGATACCTCCCCTCGTTCAGCTGCCGGAACAATGGAAACGGTCTTGGCCCAGGCAGCTGCGTCCCGGTCGGCCCTGGGAGCCTAATAAATCCCTTCTCGCCGACTCTTTCCAGTGCCCACAGATGAGGCACTTTGCCAAACCGTGGACACCCACGTTCAGATCCGCTTCCAGTGCTCAGGGCCGCAGAGATGAGCAGTGACGGTTGACGCACGTGGCTCACACGTTCGGGTTTCCAGATGCCGCCCTGCAGCACCCAGACCCGGGGATTTTTTTGGAGAAATGGTGGGCAGGGAAGGGACCAACAGTAGGACGTTGGAAGGGCCTGGGCCCAGCCCCAGGGGCCTCACGGAGCCCAGTCTGGGGTCGCTGCAGTGCCCACAGGGTCGTGGGACGGGGGATGGCGACACGCAGGAGGGGCGTGGGGGCCGCCCCCAGGCTGTCTCCCGGGCAGTGGAGCCATCGCAGACCTCCGCGTGTGGTCGTGCTTGTGACGAAACATGTGCAGAAGAGGAAGTAGATCGCTCAGTCTGAAGAGTCGGTGGGTCCGCGTGTATCAGCCACCCAAACAGGTGTCCCCAATCCTCAGGATTTGGCCGGTTCTCAGCTTTACATAAGGAAACTGATAGGTACGGTTCTGTGACCTGCTTTTTGCTCATGTTGTAAGAGTCGTTGCTTCTCCCGGTAAGGCTGCTGCACCCGCGGCTCTGTCCTCGCTGGCGGTTTTCCCGGGAGTGGAGGCAGGTGCGCCCGGGAGGCAGTGCAGGTGCGCGTATCGCAATAGCACGTATCGCAATGATGTGCGTCAGAAAAGCTTTCGGGCTTCCCGGTGCGTGTGAAAATGAGGTTTGCTCTGTACCGCGGTCCAGTGAGTGCAACAGCCTTACATCTGGAAAGACAACGCACACGCCTCGATGAAGAAACACCCCTGGTGAGAAAGCTCGCGGCCGTCCGAGCGTCCCGTGTGTCGTGATCGCGGGTCACGGGTCGCAGTAATGACTGTAATAACAGTGGGAAGACTTGAAATGCCACCAGAAATACCAAGATGGGACACAGAGACACGAAGCGAGCAAATGCTGTTGGGAGGTCGGTGCCAGGCCACTGGCGTTTGCTTGTGAAAACACCACATTGGGATGCATGAGGAGGCCCCGGGCTCCCCGCGTGGGCCCCGGGCTTGCTGGGAGCAGGGGTTCTGGATGAGCACAGACTTGGGGCCCACGATGTCCGAGAGGAAGTGGCCTCAGAGCTGCGCCTGCAGGGATGTGGGGTTTGGCGGTCGAGGGGTGCGGCCCCAGGTGCGGCCGCGGGGCTCTCTGGGAAGCCGGGGCTGGGGGTGCCGGAGCTGGGTGGTGGTGTCATCTGGAAGCATGAGGGGGACGGGGGGCTCTGCTGATCAGCTTCGTGCGCAGCCAGACCTGGAAAGGGGCACCTGAAGCCCCGTGTGAGGGGCTCCCCCGACCCTGCACGCGGGTTGTGGCAGGACAGGCGTCCGTGCAGGAGCGCTTGTGTCTGTGGACGGGGCCCAGCGTGGAGAGTGGGGCCGGGCATGTGGAGCGCGCCGGGCGGCCCTTGGCTGCATGGAACGCCAAGCCCACGTCATCCCCGCATGCACTGTCGCTTCCAGAAGGCGGGCGGTGCCGTGTGCGCCCTCCTGCCTCGGAGCACGCGTCCACCTCTGGGGCCGACCTTGACTTGGCCGTGCAGTGAGGGTATGGAGCAGCCTCGGCCCCATCGTGCCGGAGTCCTCTGGCTGAAATCGTAGCTGGCAGCCTGTCCTCGTCCAGGCCTGGGTTTGCGTTTGGGGCGTCACCATCCAGGGGACAGGTTTGGGAGGAATGAGCCCAGCAAGTCAGCATCCCACCTCCATCCGATACCAGAGCCTGAGCAGCAATGGGTGTAGCCAGGCGGCCGGCCGTCCCCCCGAGACACTGTCACCCGAGCACACGTGTGTCCCCTCCAGCGCAGGAGACGCGGATCACTGTCCTGCCACAGCTGCGGAGGCGTGGGGCTCCTTTCCCAGCTGCGTCCCCTGCTGCCTCCCATGGAGTCTGACCTCCTCCCGCCCCTGGGATGCGGCCTGTATTGTCCGTGAACACCAAGTGGGGGCCACCCACGGGCAGGGCCGGGGACCACACCCCCCTGCGGCGGGTCCTGCTGTCGGGTGACCTCGGGCTCGGAAGGCCTGCACTGTGCGGGGACTGCGGGACCCGCTGGCGCAGCACCGTCTCCTCTTTCCCTCTGTTCCTGGTTTTCGTCCCCTCCTGCCCTCAGACGGGGCGCTGTCGGGGGTCTCTGGACGCGCCTCTTCTTCAGCTGTGCGGGCTAGCGGGGGCTGCGGTGTTGCCCGTCCTCCCGTCAAGACCGGTCCCTTGCAGCTCACCCTCGGGCATCCCCCATGTCCCGATCCTTGTCATCTGTCCCGTGAAGAAGGGACGCCACCGGACGGCGCAGCCCCATGTGCAGCTGCTAACTCAGTCCTCGCACTGGGAGTTCCTGCAGGGCTGGGGGGGCCTCTCCCCAGGACCCCGTGCCTCCCCTCTGGGCACGTCACTGCGGGGCCTTCGCTCTTGTCCCCTCCCTTTAGCTGCCGAGTCGTCCTGTCCCATCTGCTGGTGTGCTCGTTTTCAAATTCTCTTTTTTTTTCTTTTAAATCTCACCACAGCAGGCGACCTGGCCAACGAACTTGTGCGGCACTTCCTGATCGAGTGTACCCCAAAGGGAGTGCGGTTGAAAGGGTGCCCCAATGAGCCCTATTTCGGTGAGTGGCTGCGAGGTCCCGGTCCGTGTTCCGGCCCACGCCGGCGTCCAGCCTTCCCCCAGCCCCCGGGAGCACCTGTGGGGCCTCGGGGGCGCCAGCACCTGGGCCGCCTCCGACTCTCGGGCTTGGTGCCTGCGGGTCTTGGCTGAGAATCACCCGCAGCGCCCCTGCTTCTCCCTTTGCTGTTGTGCCTGACTCGCGGCTCCGGGAGGCTCTGCGCGGGGTCCCGGCATGCGGGCGTCGGCTGCTGAAGACATAGCCGTGGATGCGTGGCTGAGCGGGGCCGTCCGCGGGGCCGTGCTAACCCTCTGGTTCTCCCGTTTGCAGGGAGCCTGACGGCGTTGGTGTGTCAGCATTCCATCACGCCCCTGGCTTTGCCTTGCAAGCTGCTCATCCCAGACAGAGGTACACGGTCGGGTCCTCTGCGCCGCTCGGGCTCCCCGTGGGCATGTCGGGTGCAGCGGTGTCAGGTCCACGGGGACTCACCAGGGCAGTCAGACCGGAGTCCGCGGGGCGACACTTAGCAGACAGGAGGACGCCCCGGTGTCGCGTCCTGGGCTCTGAACGGCTTCCCCGGTTGGCAAGTGCCCACGTCAGAAAGCCCCTTTGGGGCCATTTGCATTGATTTGTACGATTCTACAAAGTCAGCAAGACGTCGCTCTTTTTGAGCTTAAGTGACATTCTCTTTGCCTTTTTTAATGGCTGGTTTGAAAATAACCTATAATTCGGGGAAGAAGCACCCACCACGTGGCGATGCGATTTGGCTGTTATTTCCCAGCTTCCCACGCAGCCGTAATTTCACATAATTGTATTATATTCTATAGTGATTAATGAGCGATAGAGGTAATTGTCTCTGAGAGCCGAGAAAGGCCTGTGACTGGACCACGTCACCTCCCGCTGCCCCCTGCTCAGAACCTGGTGTCCACGGGCCGGACGCTGTCGCCTCGAGACACCCCATGACCCCTCAGACCTGCGTGGGTCACTGCCTGGGATCCCGGGCACGAGTCTGTGGTGGGAAGATCTTCTCCGGTGAGTTGGACTCATGTTGGCGTTTTCTTGCTTTCTCCCGCAGATCCGTCGGAGGAGGTAGCGGACACGTCTCCCCAGACGGCGGCCAACTCCGCCGCAGAGCTGCTGAAGCAGGGGGCAGGTCAGTGCCGGCTTCGGGATGCTTCGGGATGCCCGGTTGTGGTTGCCGGGGCCAACGGGGGGCGGTGACACAGCCTCCTTCGTCGCTGGGGCTCCGCGGTTGCTGCTTTGGAGGCCTCCCCTCTCAGGGAAGCCGGTGGGGCAGCTCGCGTGGGCGGACGGAAGCGGGACCCCCCGGGCTGGAGATCCCCCCCCCCCGTCCGAACGAGACTGAAGCCGTGCGAGAGGGTCAGGCCCTGGGTCCGTGGGAGAGGAGGCCGTGAGCCGGGAGGTGGGGGCCGGGACCTCTAGCCACGGGCGCAGAAGCGTTCAGGGCCTGACTTCGAGAGCCGATGGTTTCGCCCCCGCTGCCGGCAGTGCAGGGTGACGCGGACCCCCAGGCGGTGAGCTAGCTTGCACCCCTGTCTTTCAAGCTGATAGACTTTATACATTTTTTTGAAGATTTTATTTATTTATTCATGAGACACAGAGAGAGAGAGAGAGAGGCAGAGACCTGGGCAGTGGGAGAAGCAGGCTCCATGCTGGGAGCCTGATGCGGAACTCGATCCCGGGACCCTGGGGTCACGCCTTGAGCTGAAGGTGGTGCTAAACCGCCGAGCCCCGCCGGGCGTCCCGGACTTTAAAATCCCTTAGACCAGTTGTAGGTTGGCAGCAAAATCGAAAGGAAGGAACAGAGGTTCCGCATGCGTCCCCTGCCCGTGGGTGCACGACGCTCCCCGGCACGGCGTCCCCCCTGAGGGCGCACCCGCTGGCTGGGGTCTGTGAACCTGCCTTCACGCCGTCACGTCCCAGCCCGCCGTCTCCACTGGGGCTCGCCGTGGGGCTGTTCATTCCCGGCGACGCCGACACACTTCGCCGATCCTACAATGGCTTCGGCTGGAGTCGTCCAGTTGGTATCCCTGTCCCTTAGCGCTAGGGACTCCTTCGAGCCTCCTCATGGCTCGGCAGCTCCTTCTCAGAGCCGAAGGACCCTACCTTGCAGGGACCCCGGCGTGCACACCCTTCCTCTGCCGAAGGACCTCTGGCGGGTTATGGCTCAGCTGCTGTCACATCCGTGTGCAGAGTTCTAGCTGGACGGGGGTGCTCCCGTCCTGGGGTCCGCCCGCCGGACCTTCTGCTAGGAGTGGGTTTCGTTCTGTAAGAAACCAGCGCCGTCCTGCAAAGCAGCCGCCCCGTTTTGCAGTCCCGCCGGCGGTGGATGAGGGCTCCTGCCACTCCACGTCTGCAGCATCTCCCGTGTCAGGACGCTTCCGGATTTTGGCCGTTCTGACAGGCGGGCAGCGGCGTCCCATTGATGTTTTAATTGCACTTCCTGGATGACGTGTGACGTGGGTCATGTCTTCGTCGCCGCCGCCCGTGTACCTTCTTTGGTGAGATGTCTTACGGAACGTGGCCCGTTTTTTTAGCGAGATGGTTTTCCTCTTGCTGAATTTGAAGAGTTCTTTGTATATTTTAGAGACCGGTCCTCTATCAGATGTGTCTTTTGCAGATATTTTCTCCCAGTTTTATGGCTCATCTTCCCATTCTTTTTTTTTTTTTTTCTTTAAAGATTTATTTATGATACACACAGGGAGAGAGAGAGCGGCAGAGACACAGGCAGAGGGAGCAGCAGGCTCCCTGCGGGGAGCAGGACGCAGGACTCGATCCCAGGACCCCGGGGTGGCGCCCTGAGCCAAAGGCAGGTGCTAAACCGCTGAGCCGCCCACACGTCCCTGTCCTTGGTGCTAAACTCTAGAAATCACTTTGTCAATATCCACAAAATAACCTGCTGGGGGATTTTTATTGCAATTGTATCGAATCTCCAGATCCATTTGAGAAGCAACATCTTGACAACACTGAGGCTTCCTATCCATGAACATGGAATCTCTCTCTTCATTTATCCACTTACTTTGTATTTTTGCACCAGTTTTACAGTTTTCCTCGTAAATACGTCTAGTACATAATTTTATTAGATTCGTACCTAGGTATCTCACTTTTGGGGCTGCTAATATAAATTGAATCTTCCTTTATAAATTGCAATCTTCCTTTTTTTTTTTTTTTTTTTATTGAATCGTACTTTTAATTCCAGATTGTTGTCCCCTGCCGGTGGATAGGAAAGGGATTTCTTATTTTTTTATTTTTTTTTAGGAAAGGAATTGACTTGTGCATTAGTCTTGTTTCCTGCGCTGTGCTGTAATTACAGCCGCCCTGGTCGTGGTTGCGGCGTTCATGTCCCCAGAAGAGGGCCGTGGGCGCGGCCAGAGCCCCCGACTCTGCAGTGGTGAGGGAGCTGAGGTCCCCGTGGTGGACGCTTGCTCTCGGGAACACTGGGGAGGGGGTTTCAGAGTCTCCTCCTTTCCGCCGCTTGTGTCCGTGGTGCGCTCTTCGGCCGTGGCTCCGTGTTGGAGCTGAGTGCGCCGTGCGCCTTTTCTCTGGTTCCTTCCTCTGGACGCCGTGCATTCCTCTGCTCTCCCAGCTTTCCTCCGTGGAGCCCCCCTCATCACACCTGCTGCTCAGCTAAACTTCATCTCTCTGGTTTTCACATCGAGTAATTCCGCGTCGGACTCTTTTCAGACCGTCCTTGAGGGATACGTTCCATGTTTCTGAAACGAAGGTGACCTGGTTTGCCCCAAACAGCAGCGTCTTGGAGTGTGATGCTCCAAAATGAGGAGCACGGCTATGGCGGTCCTGGGTTCAAGTCCGTTGTAGCGATGATGATCTCTCCATCCCGCGTGGCCGCAGAGACCAAGTGAATCAGACATTGAGAACCGCCTCGAGGACGGTGATGGGGTCTCTCACGCAGGGTGTAGTTTTCCTGCTGCCGTGCGTACGTGGAGAAATGGCCTTTGCTGTGTTGGTGCCTCGCCCTTGCCCCGCACAGGCCGCAGCTGGGGGCCCCCGGGGTCTCTCCGGGGTGCAGCCCTGCTCAGCCTGGGGTCCCACTGCAGCCCACACGCCTCCGGGCTCTGCACTTGGCGTAACGTCATCTTGGGACAGGTGGCCTGTCCTGTTTCTCCTTAGACTTCATGGTTATCAGACATTTTCCCGGTAGATGTCCATTCTCCACTCGTAAATGGATCAGTGGATTCACTAATCGTAATTAGGAACCTTAATGGCTCCTATATTTATACATTAAAGCTTTTACTTCTGACACCATTTTTAGGGACACTTTAAATCTTGTTGGTAATACGTGGCAGGTACCAGTAACGCTGGATGATTTAAAAAAAAAAAAAAGATTTTATTTATTCGTGAGAGGCAGAGACACAGGCAGAGGGAGAAGCAGGCTCCCTGCGGGGAGCCTGACGCGGGACTCGATCCCAGGACCCCAGGGTCACGCCCTGAGCCAAAGGTGGAGGCTCAGTCACTGAGCCACCCAGGTGCCCCACATTTGCTTTTTTGGGGGTGAGTGTCAGTTCCCGGGACTTGAGGCGGGTCGTGGAATCTTATGTCCATGGTTGCACACGACGCCACGGAGCCCGCATCCCTTTAAAACCTGGTGTTTCTAAGACCCTTCGAGGGGGTTACATTCCCATGCAGCTGACTTCACGGGTGGCAAGGCCGGGAGTGGAATCAGGACCCAGAGACGTGGCTGGAGTGAGGACAAAGCCGCAGAGAGCTCCTGGGGCCCCCGCAGGGCTTGCAACGCGTGCCGGAAGGTGTTCAGACTGTCCCGCTGGCGATCCCCCTCAGGGAAATGTTTTTTTTTTTTTCTTTTTCTTTCTTAAAACGAATGAGTGTCCTCATTCACTTCCGGGACTCGACTTGTCCCGGGTGGAGTCCGTCAAGCTGGGGAAGCAGTGCCCCGGGGGGGTGGGGGGGGGTGGGGGGTGTTCGGTGGGAGGCCCCAGGGCCAAGCCCAACGGGCTGCTCTCAGCTCCCTGACTCCCGGTGTCTCTGGCCTCTTCCTCGGGGGCCCTGCAGCAGTGGGATGCGTCCATCCTGAGGAGGAGGACCAGACCTCTGTTGGCTCATTTCCCAGAAATGTTGGGATGTGACCTTGACCTTCCCTGCTGTGGCGTGTATTTCATTTATAAAAATAGGAGTTCTTTAGATTGAAAAAAAGGAATTCAGAGGGAGAGTGAACTGCTCAGAGGTCTGGTTCCCAGACAGCTCTGGATGCTTTTCCTAGTCTCGCATGGAGTACGAACCCCCCCCCATCCCCATCCCCCGATTTTCTGCGGCTGCGGGAAGGTCCGCCTTGCAGTTGCTCCGCTTGTGCGGCCTGTTCCCGGCCTCCTGGTTACTGCAAACACCCCTTGGGGGGCCGCCTCCTTGCTTGACGTCTTTGTCTGGATTTTGCATTGGCGTCTTAGGACCCAGGGTGCTGGAGGCTGGAGGGCTGGCTGCGGCTCGGGGGCCTGGGGCTTTGTGCCGCGAGCGCTGGGTGGCCGCCCCGTTGGGTGCCACAGGAGGCAGCCCCACCAGGAGCACGCGTCAGGTGGGAGAGCAGGTGCTGCGGCCTCAGGCGCTGTCTGTAGGAGCCAGCTTCCCGCGAGCCACCCCCTTATCCAGAGGCCGTCTGTGGGGTCACGGGGGTGCAGGGTCTGGGTAGCGGCAGCCCGTCCCGTCCCGGGGTGGGGGGTGCAGACCCAGCCCGGGCCTGCTCCGCGGGGTTTCGCTGCACTCGGATGAGAGCTCCCTTTCTTGTGTTAGGAAACGCATCACAGTAACGCTCGTGAAATCGGGATCAGAACAGCCACCCTCCCAACATCACACCCGCCGCTCCTGCTCCTACGCAGACGCGCTCTTTATCGTGGTCCCAGCACGACCGTGGCTTCTGCTTCTGCTCTCCCGTCAATCTCTGGCATTTCTTTGGTCTTGAGAAGCGATTGACATACGGTTGCCATCTGGGCCGGCGGTGCCCGGCAGGCGGCTCCCATGGTGGACATGGTGAGGTGGCCAGCACAGGAGGCTCGGCCACGTTCATCGTCGGCTGCGGATACGTGGCCACGGGGAGAAGAAAAAGACGTCTCGCTGTGCACGTGGCCTGGCCACTGGGTGTCCGTGTGGGTCTGTGGAACCATTCCCTGTTTCCCTGCCGGGTCTGTGCAGGGCGTCCCCAGCCCCACCTCTACGTTGCTCGCCTGCCGCAGGCGTAGATCTCCTTCCTGCGTGTTCTTGGGCCACCAGGTGCAGGCGCGTCTGCCGCTCCTGATAAGGATTGCCAGGTTGTCGTCCAGGAGGGCGGTCGGGGTTGACACCCCGGGCGGCCGCACCCGAAAGGACTCTGTGCCCACACGCTCTGTCCCGAGACGACACCAGAGGAGCCCTCGGGTTCAGGCAGGAGCACAGGGCACCCCAGCCCTCAGCGCCCGGGACAGGGGCGGCCAGCTGGAAGGGGCAGGTGCATCTCTGCTTCTGCCTTGAGCCTCAACCTGGGCCAGCGGCACGCAGGTGTGACCCGCGGAAGGTGCACCTGCCGTCGGGGCACGCGTGGCATTGTCAGTGGGCGTGGGCTGCGGCTGAGGACCTCGCGGTATGAGCCACAGTGCACCCCCAGGGAGACGTCTTGCTGAGCATGTCTGGTACCCGGGGGGCTCCCCGTAGGCACCACCACATGCTTGGCCCCCCGGGGGCTGCGAGGCACATGGACGGGTCTCGGGGTCTCCAGGCTGCTGCGCCCTCCTGGGCACGGGGTAGGCGCGGGTGGGCCCAGGCGCTCTGTGAGGCGTCACTGCAGCCAGATGCCAGCAAGTGCACAGCCTCGGGGGCTCGGGGACACAGAGGTGCTTGTGTTTGGGGCGGGAACGTCTCCTTCGATGGTGCCTGGTGACACTGCGCTGTGCGCTGTCCCCTGTGCCGTCCGGAGCTCTTGGTGAGAGCGAGGGAGCATGGTTCAGGGAGCTTAGTCTCCAAGGAGACTCCCTGCAGGTGGTGGGTCCAGGGCCAGAGTCCTGTAGAGGAAGTGGGGGGCCCCGGGGTGCACACTCACGGGGACCCCACCCGCCGGCTTCCAGCCGCTTCCCTCTCGGGAGGGTTTCTGGAACCTCTTTCCCTTCATTCTGGGCCTTTCCGGCTGGGCCCCTTCTGGTGGCTCCACGAGTTGGCCCGGTGGCTTTGCCCCACGAGACCCCGGCTGACACGCCCCTGGGGTGCCCCAGGATCAAGAGCCTCGTTTTCCCGACACTCGGTGCAGCCCCGGGTCCTCCTCACCGAAGCCGGAGCTTCGGAGACCCCAGAGCTTCTGGGACTCTGACGCTCACAGGGACCTGCAGGGTGGGGGTGCGGGCTGCTCTGCCCGGGGCTGGGTGGCTCCTGCGGGGAGCGGGCAGCAGGCAGCCCGTGTGTCCCAGTCACCCCGACCGCACACGTCGGGCCTGTGGGAGCTGCAGGGATCGAGGTTCAGTGGGCCTTGGGCTGTTGGCCGAACCCTGTTCCCGCTCGGCAGTTCCCTTCCTGCAGGAGGAGCAGCCCCCAGCCCCTGGCAGCAGGGCCGTGACCCCCAGCGGAGAGGCCGACTCTGCTCCGGGCCACACGGGTCGTGCATCGTCCCCGCAGCTTCCCGGGCGCCGCCCCTCCCAGGTCTCCGTGCAGGATGGTTCTGCGTGGCTCTGGCCCTCGCACTCCCCGCCTCATGCTCCGCACCCTGGGGATGCAGCTGCCGGGGGGCCGAGGTCCCTCCCTCTCCACACCTCGGGGATTGGGGGGCCGAGGGCTCTGCCTCCACCTAACACACCGCTCCCCGTGTGCCGCGCAGCCTGCAACGTGTGGTACCTGAACTCCGTGGAGATGGAGTCCCTCACGGGCCACCAAGCCGTCCAGAAGGCGCTGAGCCTCACCCTGGTGCAGGAGCCGCCGCCCATGTGCACCGTCGTGCACTTCAAGGTGTCGGCACAGGGCATCACCCTGACGGATAACCAGAGGAAGTGAGTGTGCCGGGCGCTGGGCTGTGGGCGGGGCTTCCGGGCACGCCGGGCTCAGGCCTGCCAACACGGGTGTGCCCAGAGGTGGTCCTGGATGTGTCAGTCGGGGCCTCCCGGGAGCCGCGCCTGAACCGTGGACAGTGGGCACGGAGGTTTTCTTACGAGTCAGTAAGGCCGTAAAAAAAAAAAGATTTGGACCTTTGAGTACCACATGCACATGTGTATAAGTTTTTGTTTTTGCATTTTTAAAGATTTTATTCATTTATCCATGAGAGACAGAGAGAGCGGCAGAGACCCAGGCAGAGGGAGAAGCAGGGGCAGCAGAGACGGAGGCCTGGGTGCTCCTGCCCCGGTGCAGCCCCCGACCTCAGGGTCAGATGCATTTTTGATGCATGGAGTTTTTATTTAATTCATCACCAAAACAGCCCGGGGTGGTTCATGCGAGAGCCAGACCACCACCGACCTGGAGGCGGGCGCAGGGCGAGTTCCCAGCGCTCCCCCCAGCACGGCCCGCCTGCCCCGGCACCTGCGCCACGTGCCCCCGGACGTGCTCGGCCGTCCTTGGACCAAGGGCAGGGAGGCTGGGCTCCCGGGCTCCCGTCCCGCGCCGGCCAGGGCTGCTGGGCCTGGTCCCGACCCCACGTGGCTGGCAGGTGCACGGCATGACCGCCCGTCTCCGCCGCGGGGCGGCTCCTCCCGCAGCCCCGTGCCCAGCACCCGCCCGTCCGCCCGGCCGTGCCCACAGCTCCGCCCGCAGGCGCCTAGTAGTCGAGTCAGCTTCTGCCCGGACCCCATCCCGGGGGTGCCCAGCCCGAGCGTCCCCGTCACCCGCGTGCCCCCTAACAGGGGCATGTCCTCCCCGTGTCCCGGCAGGCTCTTCTTTCGGAGACACTACCCCGTGAGCAGCGTCATCTTCTGCGCGCTGGATCCGCAGGACAGGAAGTAAGCGAGCGTGTGTGTCGGCAGCGTCTGTGCGCCCTTTGCCTGTGAACGTGCAGACTCACGTAACTCTTCCTTTTTTTTCTCTTTTTCCCACCTGCAAGGTGGATCACAGACGGCCCCTGCTCAAGGTAAGGCTCCTGGACGCCAGCACCCCCCATCTCCGCCCAAAGTGGGTTTCCTCGCAGATTTCCGAAGCGGGCGGCGTGTAAGGGAATGAGGGCGTCGCGCGGGCGGGTGCGGGCCGTGCCGTGAGCACGAATGAAGGTGCCTCCCGTGGGGGGGGCCGGCCGGGCTCCCCTCCTGCTGGCTCGTCCCCGGAGGCCCAGTCCTTCGGCTTGGCGGGGAGCGTGGAGAGGATCACACGGCCGGGGCAGGTGCGCACCGCAGGCACGTCGAGCTCGGGGCGGTGGGAGGGCTTCCCGTGCATACATACGCGTGGGGGACCCGGTGCTGGTGTTTCCCAGACGCTGGGGGAGCCCCGACAGCCAGCCCTGGCTCCCCGGCTGTGCTCCCGGAACCTTCCGGAGCCGGGTGCGCTCCCTCGCTTGCCCGTAGTCTGAGACTGAGGTGCCTTGGGCGCGCGAGGGCATCCAGCCCCCACGTGGCCCTGCCTGGCCGTCCCTGGTGGGAGCACAGTCCCCACACCAGAGGGGAGGCGGGCGGCTCGGGGGGACCTGCCCCGGGCAGCGGTGGACCGGGCGGGGGGCGGCCACGCACCTGCTCTCCCCGCGGGGGCAGCACACGGGCCCGCAGCTCGCCGGGCCTCGCGGGACTCGCCGCTGCGCTGACCTGCCCACCTTTCCCTTTGCAGAGTCTTCGGGTTTGTGGCCCGGAAGCAGGGCAGCGCCACGGACAACGTGTGCCACTTATTTGCGGAGCACGACCCGGAGCAGCCCGCCAGCGCCATTGTCAACTTCGTGTCGAAGGTCATGATCGGCTCCCCTAAGAAGGTCTGAGCCCCCCCGCCGCCCGCCCCAGCTGGAGATGCGACAGGGACCCGGGCGCCCGCCGGGCGGCGCTGGCGAGCCTGACGCCCCAGCCCCAGGACGGGAAGCCGGCTCCTCTCCGGCTTTACAGACACGAGGTCATGCGGGCCGTGTGCTGTCCTTCCCTCAACGACTGCTCACCGACACCTCCCTGGGGCGGACGCTGCGCTCCGGGCCTCCGGGCCTTGCAGGGAGCCCCTTGCATGCCGACGGCGGCGGTGGGAGCCGCTGCACAGTGGCCCTGGGCAACGGACAGGGCCCCGTCCTCCCGCCTCCCCGGGGCAGGCCTGTTTTCCCCGCGGCAACGCTAGGGGCCCCGGGGGGGGGGACGTGATGGCTGCGAGGACCAGGAAGGCCCCCGGTCGCTGGGGGGCCCCGTACAGCCCCAGAGCCGCGGCCCCCGGAGGCCAGTGGACGCTCCCCCTCCCTTCCCCGGGGGCAGAGTCGGCCCCGTGAGCAGTTGGCCCCGCCTCCCCAGCCCGCTGCGCGGTGGAGGAAGGGAGGCCCGTCGCGAGGCTCCGTCCCCCGGGCTGGGAGCCGAGTCCCGAGCGCTCTTCCTGCCGAGGACCCCGTGCGGCCCGGGGAGGCCTCCTGAGCGGCCCCAGCCCGTGGGCGGCCCCCGCCCGACCTCGCAGAAGCAAGCGGGGTGGCCGTGCCGGCGTCCCGCTCCCCGATGCCCCAGATGCAAGTGCCTCACTTCTGTGCCAAATGTTTGCCTTGGTCTTCGCGGACCTTCTCCCTCCCGGGGGCCGGGTCCTCAGCAGGGGCGGCCGGCGCCTGGGGATTCCGGGACCCGAGGTGCATCCCCAAGGGGCACCCCCTCCTGAGACGCCTTGTGCGCAGCTCGGCCCACCTGCCCGGTCCCTCGGCCTTCAGGTGATGGAAGAGGCGGCTCGCTTAGAAACCAGAGCGAGGGGAGTGTGGGCTTCCCGGCTGCTCCGTGTCCAGAACATTCCAGAAGCTGCCCTCCCTTGCCTTGTAAGCAGACTGGCCCGCTGTGGCCTCTGCCCCCCGCGGTCAGGGCATCAGGGAGTGGGCTCCGCCTCCACCGCCGGGGAAGCCCAATCCCCGATTCCCGACGAGCCGGTACGACAGGTGTCTCCCCGTGCTACACGTGCGTGACACAGAGCGAGAGGAGGCCGCCAGCGGGGCTTGGGACCGCGGTGAGCCCCACCCCCACGTGGGTGTGGGGACGCTTTGCCCCGGGCAGGGGCCCCGGTCCCAGGGAGGCCGCGAGACCTGCTCACCGCGGGGTCGTGCCCCGGGTCCTGCCTGCCCGCCCGGCGGCCCGGAGCCGTGCTCCTCCAGTGTTAGCGCGCAGCCTTGGGAAGTCACCGCGTCGGGGGCCCCGGGTCTCGGCGTGCAGGACCTCACGTCTCCGCAGCCGCCTTAGTAGTGCGCGTTTTTACTTTTCTTACGTTGTAAAGAATATACCCAGTATGTAAATGAATGTTCTATAAGCCCTTTGTATAGTCATTTTCTCTGCTTTTCAGATATCGTCTCTATTCAAAGTATAATAAAATAATAAACGTGGTAAATTCTCCGTGGCACAGGCATTTGTTGTGTTGGGTGGAAGTGCATCTGTGTGCACGTGTGTCTGCGTGTGTGCTGCACCTGTGTCCCTGCGTGTGCGCCTGCCGTGTGACCGTGTGAGCCGCCCCTGTGTGACTCCGTGTGCACCTGCCCGTGTCCCTGCACCTTGTGGCTACATGTGCACCTGCCCCTGCGTGACTACCTGTGTGCTGCACCTGTGTCACTGTGTGCACCTGCACCTGTGTGACTACCTGTGACCCTGCACCTTGTGTCAATGTGTGCACCTGCACCTGTGTGACCCTGTGTGCTGCCCCTGCGTGACTACGTGTGTCCCTGCACCTTCTAGCTGCGTGTGTGCTGCACCTGTGTCCCTGTGTGTGTGCCTGCCCATGTGACCGTGTGAGCTGCACCTGTGTGACTCCATGTGCACCTTCCTGCATGACTACGTGTGCACCTGCACCTTGTGGCTGTGAGTGTGCTGCACTTGTGTCCCTGTGTGTGCACCTGCTCCTGTGTGACCGTGTGAGCTGCACCTGTGTGACTCCGTGTGCACCTGCCCATGTGACTACATATGTCCCTGCACCTTGTGGCTACATGTGCAGCTGCCCCTGAGTGTCTACCTGTGTGCTGCACCTGTGTCACTGTGTGCACCTGCACCTGTGTGTGTGAGCCTGCCCGTATGTGACCGTGTGAGCCCGCCCCTGTGTGACCACGTGTGTGCATACGTGTGCACGTGTCTGCCTTCGTGTGCGGCCGGGACTGCAGCGTGTGCTGTTGCTTGTAGCTGCTGATTGCTTTGTTGCTCCCCCCCTGGCGGGGCCCCTCCGGGTCCTTCTGAGTCGGGCCGAACCTGAATATGAAGTTCCGTGGCTGCACCTTGAGCACAGCACCTGGCGCCCAGGGCGGGCTTCCCAGCCAGGTGGGGCTGCATCAGGCTGGCTTCTTGCCATTGTGGGTCTGGGCTCCCTCTCTCTGTGTACCTCCTTCCTGAACCAGGTAACAGGGACACGGGACCCAGGGGCCTCCCGCGCTTGGGAGAATCTTGTCGGATGGAAGGTCGACCCTTGAGCGGGGCCAGGGAGGGAGTCCGGGCCGCCGGGCATGGATGCCGTGGCCAGTGCATGGGCTCTCCGAGGGCACAGTGGATTTGTCACAGTGGCCTGGACTCCGCCCGGAGGATTCTGGGGACCCAGCCCCCGCCAGGCCGCACCTGGGTGGGAGCTGGCCGTGTGCAGGTGACCTCCCTGCTCGTCACTCAGAGGCTACCGCTGATGGTCGTACTGGCAATGGGCACCCGGGGCCCGTCTCCTGGGGATCCTGGGTCTGTTGATAGTGGGCGGCCGTGTCCGACCCCTGGGGCCATGGGCCTATTGGAGAAGGGTACCTGGGTCCTGCCCACTGGGGACCCGTGGATCTGTTGGGGGGACCTTGGATCTCCTGGCGATAAGTGCTGGGATCTCGCCCACTGGTGACCCAGATCTATCGGAGATGGGCTCCCGGGTCCACCTCCTTGGGCTCTGAATCTACCAGTGACAGGCCCTGTGCCTGCCCAGTGGCTTCGTGTTTCCTCTAGAGGTGCCTGTGGCTGCCAGGACTGGGAGATGGACCCCAGGGCCTGGGGTCACGCTTCACACGGCTGACTCCAATCTCAACTGGAGTTGCCAGTGGACTTGGGGCCCCCAGCGTGTGCCTGGGACACGGGCTTGGCCACACCTGGGCACATTCGGGCGGCAGGGCTGTCGAGTTGGTAACAAGAGAAAGATCCAAGAATCCATGGCCGTAAAGTTCCTGCGGGATCAGAGCACAGAGCTTGGCAGAGGGAGGAGAACCCAAATACATGAGCAGACCACGTGCCGTCGAGTGGCCCGGGCCGGGGCCGCAGGGGTGGGGGCGTGGACCCCCAAAGCCTTTACCTGTGGGAGGGTACCAGTAAAGGGCAGGTGCCACGAGAGCCGAGCTGGCCCATGAGGCGTCTCTGTCCCCATGGATTTGAGACCCCGGGGGCGGGGGGACCCCAGCAGAAGGCCTGCCCCCCACCCCAGGAAGCACACGGCGTCTCCCACCACCTGGGGACCGACCCCGGAGAGGCCCGGCCAGGGAAGCCTCTGCTGAGCCACGGCCCCCCACCCTCTACCCCTGCGACACCTGTGCCCCCCGGGCCGCGGCGTCGGGACCACGGGGGCCTCTGCACCAGGTCCACTGCACGGGCCAAATTCTCGTGGCCACGCGGCGATGCCTGAACCCGGCTTGGCCGCCCCTGGCCCGGGAGGCGGGGAAGAGCCAGGGAGCTGCCCACTGGTCCACGCGGAGCTGCAGGTGGGGACCCCGCCCGGCGACAGATGCGGAGCAGAAATGTTCAGCAGCTTGGCCATGGTCGGGACACAGGCCGTGCCCTTTGCACCCAGGGTGCACGCGCAGGGGGACCCTGGCGGCTGGCTCCGGAGGCCTCGCCTCGCAGACCCACGTGGTCTGGCTGTGTCCGTCTCAGCAGGAGTAGGAGTGGACGCGGCCAAGCTGCTGAGCCCTGAAGGGAGAGCGCGTGCCCTCTGTCCTCCTCCTGCCCCCTGCCCGCCTGGCGAGGCCCGCCTTGCGCTCCCAGTGTAGGCGGGAAGGGAAACCAAGAGGTAAAACAAAGTTGTCGTCCTCTAAGCGGTGATGGAACCGCCCTCCGTGACCGCGGCGACGGCGGAGTGCAGGAGAGGTACTAAAACCCGCCGGATCTCTCCGTTGCGTGGGCGGAGGCCGTGGCCGCGCGCTGCATCTCAGGAACGTCGTTAGAAAAGCAAAACCAGACACGCGTCTAGGAGAAGAGTCAAGACCTATGTGAACCTCTGGGAGACACAGGCCCAGCCCCAAGCTCTGCAGCGCCGCTGCGGGGAGACCTGCAGGTGTATGTGGGGGAGCCGGGTGTATGTGGGGGGTCTTGATCTTGGGTCTTTCACGAGGCCACCCAGCAGGATGACAGGTCTGAGCACGCAGAGCCAGAGCCGGAGGGGAGAGCCAGCGATTCCCAGAAGAAAACTTTGCCCAGGTGCACGGAGGTGCAGGGAGGGGGCGTAGGCTCTGGAGACCCCCAGCAGCACCCAGAGAATGGCCAGCTTTGACTCCGGGCCGGCGGGGCTGGTCAGAGCCCGCCAGGCGCACCCTTCTTCCCCAATCCCCGCTCCTCCCAAGGCCCCTCCTGAGGGGTTGGCAGCCAGTTCCCAGGGGCGGAGAGCGACGCCGGGTGCAGAGAGAAACTTGGATTCTTGCAGGAACCTGCACATCCTTCGCACCAAATTGGGATGTTTTCCACAATCACAAGTGACTGTGGGGCATTTGATTATATAAAAATGACCAGAGAAGTCTCAGGGCGTGCCTGAGGCCTCAACCAGGGCCCCGCTGAGCAGGCCTAAGGAGACAGGGGGACCAGGCAAGGCTGCCCCGTGGAGGCCCCACGACCACACGCGCTGCTTCTCCACGTCTGCTTGGCCGTGGTGGGCCACGGGGGCAGGAAGGGCCGTCAGTCTATCAGGTGTGCTGCACACGCGGGGCCCGGGGCCTGGGCTCCTGGAAGGTGGAGAGGAGCAGGCCATGGTGGGGAGGACTCTCCTCCAGAAGATGAAAGTACCGAGAACATCACTTCTCTGGGTGGTGGGCAGGAGGTCACCGAATGACAGCTGTGAGGGCACACTTGCTGTTCCCACTGCTTGAGAGAGCAAAGAGGAGGCAAATCAAGGCAAAACTCTGAAAACGTTTCAGTCTCGGTTAGATGGGATCGGCTGCTCTGGGCAGTACAGCCCCGCAGTGTGTGTGTGTGTGTGTGTGTGTGTGTGTGCGCGCTCTGCACGCGAGCGGGGTCAGCCTGGCCGTCTCCATGTGTGATGAGGGCTGCACATTCCTTGTCTTCAAAGGGTTTTGATGAAGATAAAATGAGGTTCTGTGTAAGAAGAGCCCATGCAAAGCCTAGGACACGGTGAGCTTTCCCTGGATGGTACTGTATCACCACCACCACCACCGTCATCACCACCACCACCACCACCACCGTCACCACCACCATCATCACCACCATCACCACTATCTTCATCACCACCATCATCACCACCATCACCACCATCATCACCACCACTACCAGCACCACTACCTTCATCACCATCACCACCATCATCATCACCACCATCATCACCATCACCACCATCACCACCACCACCATCATCACTGTCACCACCATCACCACCGCCACCATCATTATCACCACTATCATCATTCATCACCATCATCATCATCACCACCAACACCATCACCACCACTTCATCACCACTATCATCATCACTGTCATCACCACCACCATCACATCACCACCATCACCACCATCATCACCACCACCATCACATCACCACCATCACCACCATCATCACCACCACCACCAGCACCACTACCTTCATCACCATCATCACCGCCACTACCATCATCATCACCACCATCATCATCACAATCACCATCACCATCACCACCACCACCATCACCATCATTATCACCACTATCATTTATCACCATCATCATCACCATCATCACCACCACCATCACTACCTTCATCACCACCATCATCACCATCACCACCATCATTATCACAACCATCATCATTCATCATCACCAGCAGCATCATCACTGCAGTTGGCAGAGATGCAAAATTACTAGTTCTTCCAGGGTGTGGTCCACCATGGCCATGTGTGTGCATCTGACCTGTGTTTAGTCTCAGGCGGGCCTATTATCTCTCCAGTTGTCCAAAGGAAAGCAGGAAAAGATCTGTGGAAAATGGTCACAGTTACATGTTAAAGTGAAGGTCGGAAAAAATTGGGGAAATGGTTTGAACCAGAACGTTATAAAGAAGATGGATAAATAAGCAGCAAATCGGTGCGCATCCCGAGGCATGAGGGGCATGCGAATTAGACCCTCCACGAGCGCTCATGCCGTCTCTCCTGGAGTGGTCAAAACAGTAGCTGAGGACAACGAGGGGGACGTG